ACCCTGAAATCCAGCAAGGGTAAAAATACAATCTTCAATTCTTGATATATTATTCAGCGACAGGTCAATATTTTTAAGCAATGTGTTGTAGCTACCGTTCCCTTAAGATTTAGGGAAAAGTTGGCATACGAGTATATTCGTGCCAAAAAACAATAGTTGCAAAAAACTTTGTTTTAATCTAGCTCAATTCTAACCCATAGTTAATTGAATACAACGAGTCTCAACCCTTTTGGCGCCGCTTTTATAAATACTTCCCGTTGCTGCATGTTATTGAATACAAATGATCATTCATACCCGGGTAATGATCTTTTGGTTTCAGTAACCACGCGTTTCTACAATCCTGACAATTGATGTTAACTCTTATTTGATGACCAAATGATGGGAACTCTAACAATGTACTAAAAATGTCCTCGTTCAAATAATTAAATGGAGTTATCCTTAACACTGTGAGGTCAAGATAAACTTGGGCATAAGTAAATACCAACGCATTTTTCGTAAATGTTGTATCAGGATGAATCGGGTTGTTTGTCAAATTTACGTTTATTACGGTATGATCACCACCGGACAATGCTACAAAACAATCGCCAATAACCGATATGTTATTCGATTGTAATTCTAACGTTTTGAGCTCGGGTAACTCAAAAAATGCACCTGGGTTGATTATTTCAAGTGACCCATATTTGTTATCATCATAGACACTAAATGATACTTTCTCCAATTTATGTAGCATGCTAATTCCTTTACTCGGAATCTCGGTGATTTTGGTGAATTTCAATTTGATTTCTTTAACATTGGTCAGCGTACTCATCGCGGCGAATATATCGTATTCACCATGGTCGGTGTTGTTATTTACTGGACAACTCTGTACATTAAATGTTTCAATGGTAGCCGCAGTACCGGAAAATGCATCTTTGTGTAGTCTATCCAAATTTGGCATGAACCTAAAATCAACATTTTTAACATGGATATCGGCAAACACGTTTTCCGGTATTTCAGTAAGATGCTTATTATCCCAAATGCTAATGAAGCTTATTTGTTTATCGGTACCATCGAGTGCCTTGCTCACATTTTTGAATACTGCTCTCAAATCGTAGTACCCATCAATGCGACATTCTTTCAGCACGCTCAACATTATGGTGATTTGAAAATTGCCCAGCAACACATTGCCGACTTTTTGGGTGCGTATAATTTTATATTTTGATTAATTTAAAATAATATTAAACTCTGCAAACAATAATTTGGTTATCATGTAATACAGGTACTGAGAAGGTGCCACCTACCGGTGTCAATAGTGAGGCAGTGCCTAAGAATGCAGAGTTTGTGAACTTCCGGGACATTTCCATAAAATTGACCGAAAAGAACATTCAGTCCATTAATTATATCTATGAGAAGCAAATGTAACTATATTTTTAATAATAATTTTTTCAATATTAATTAATTTTTAAATATATTTTATTATTTTAATAGATATGTGGATGAATTATCTCGATTACTGAAGGGTCGCCAATACGTTGACCAACATTTGCGCGCATTTGTGGATAGCGTGCACCACATGACCCGTTTGGACACCAATGCTCTGTTGAATAGCAAACTCGAGTTATCCGAAGACATGACTTGTTATAAGAAGTTTGTCGACACCTTCCACGATAAGTGCTTCAATATGAACAAGGTTTCTTTTTAATGTTTATTTTTAAAAAATAGTTAATTTATTGTTTGCAAATTCCCTTCACAGAATACTTATACATTCAGCAAGATTAATGTGTTTAACAATATTTGTAATCAAATGATCAATGACAATCATGTCAATGTTGCCTTTTTGGATCAGTATTGTACTCAGAATGGTGTTTCAGGGTACATGTCAAGCATTGAATAAATCTATAACATTGTAAAAATTAATGAAAACCTATTTAATATATTAAAAATGTAAAACATTCAAAAATTTATTCATGATATTAAATCCTAATCATAAAATAAAATTTATTTATTTGAAACGAATTTAAAATAAATGATCCTGATTATTTTCCTGGAGACATTATTAGTGAATTAAAATTATTTTCTATATATTTGATATATTAAATAAAATAAATCCAAAAATTTAATTAGAAACATATGGGCGACTATTTATTTCAAAAATATGTACTTGACATTTTTAAAAATAACATTAAATCTAATAATTAATAAGGCGTGACACACAATATACTTACGGGGAAGGGGAAGAGGGGAAGGGGGTCATGCCAAAGCGTATGTCCCTATGTTAAACTCCTATGTACTATAGGCATGTAGAAGGAGGGGGGTCAATTTTTAAATAGTATTATTAGTATTATAGTCAATAGTATTTCACTTTAAATAATTATAAACTTATACTTTGATAAGCGATAAAATGTTTATTAAAACAACTAAAAATTATTTTAAAAAGTAATTCAACTATTTATGACTATTTATATTATACAGTCAAAATAATAATATTTGATAATAATTCAAAATATTTTATTTTATTCAGATAATACATTGCTCTCATATAACATCTATTTAGCACATTTAACAAAATTGTCTGGATCATTCAAATACTTCCCGTTGCTGCATGTTATTGAATACAAATGATCATTCATACCAGGGTAATGATCTTTTGGTTTCAGTAACCACGCGTTTCTACAATCCTGACAATCGATGTTAACTCTTATTTGATGACCAAATGATGGGAACTCTAACAATGTACTAAAAATGGTCTCGTTCAAATAATTAAATACAGTTTTCCTTAACACTGTGAGCTCGAGGTAAACTTGGGCAAATGTAAATACCAACGCATTTTTCGTAAATGTTGTATCAGGGTCAATCGGATTATTTGTCAAATTAACGTTTATTACGGTATGATCACCACCGGACAATGCTACAAAACAATCGCCAATAACCGATATGTTATTTGATTGTAATTCTATTGTGTTGAGCATAGGCAATAAAAAAAATGCACGGTTGTTGATTGTTTCAAGTGACCCATAGTCATTATCATCATACGCGCTAAATGTTACTTTTTCTAATTTATTGAGCATGCTAATACCTCTACTTGGAATCTCCGTGATTTTGGTCTCTCTCAATTCAATTGCTTGAACATTGGTCAGTGTACGAATCGCTGCGAATATATCGTAATCACCTTGATCAGTGTTGTTATTTACTGGACAACTCTGTACATCAAATGTTTCAATGGTAGCCGCAGTACCGGAAAATGCATCTTTGTGTACATTGACTAAATTGGGCATGAACCATAATTGAACATTTTCAACCATGATATCGGCAAACACATTTTCGGGTATTTCCGTGATATACTCATTATCCGAAATACTAACAAATTCGATGCGTTTATCGGTACCCTCAAGTGCCTTGCTCACATTTTTGAAGACTGCTTTCAAATCGTAGTTGTTTTCTTTATAGTCGCAATCGACATGATTATCGGATAAACATTTGCATGGTGATAATACAGCAGGGTCAGTTGGACATTTTGCTGCCAAGGTGCTATAAATAGCCAAGTTTACAAATACTAAAATTATCATGTAGTTCCCTATTAATAATAACATGATACATTAGAATTATTTAAGTGTACGTATATTTAAAAATATTATTTTTAAAATTTACTTACTCATTGTTAATAATAATAATATTATTATTTTTAATTGTTAACTTAGAAACTTATTTACTTATAAAATAAATTTTACAATAATCACGCTCTATTTATACTGTGAACATTTTATCTAGCTACAATCTCACATCTGTGTGGTAGTATTGCACCATTTGAATATAACAAAATTTTTTAATAAAACTTATTTTTATTTATCTATTGTAATGTTTTGAAACTACCAATAAAAAATTATAAACGTTATATTTTATCTACTGTTAATAATTGACTACATCTTTTGCAATAATAAGTGCATAAGCTACTCTGTTATGTTGCACTATTAAAATAAAAATTTTTTTTGTAATAATCAGAGAAATTGATAAAAATTACTTACAATAGATATACCTATACAGTACATCTATAATCAATACTCAATATTACGCTACAGAGCTATTGATAATCTTGAGTTATACTAACATGGTATTTTACAATACACTTTATATAAATATTGTTTTAATTATAATAATAAAAATAAGCTTTATTGTATGGAAAAAATATTGTATTTGGTGATAAAAACACATTTAATTTAAAGTCATATTGTAATAATTTTTAAAGTAACAAGTTATCAAGATGTCTGCTGTCAAACATACGGCTGATGTCGGACCTCAACATTATATGGCACCGGAAGCTATGGGCGATGAATACAATCATTTGACAGATATCTACAGTCTATCCCTAATTGGGGCTCAAATTTTTGGATTTGATACATACGATATAATCGACGGAAATATGTATTATAAAAGCGGCGCCAAAAGGGTTGATACTCGTTGTATTAAATTAACTATGGGTTAGAATTGAGCTAGATTAAAACAAAATTTTTTGAAACTATTGTTTTTTGGCACGAATATACTCGTATGCAAACTTTCTCCTAAATCTTAAGGGAACGGTAGCTACAACACATTGCTTAGATCTCAAAAATTATACAATATTTTTAAGTTCTGATTTTTGGAAATGATGCTCGAGGTCATTCCTATAAAAGTAATATCTGGATTTGTCGAAATTTTACTCCGTTGATTTTTAAAAATTCCCTAAATGTCAAAAATTGACATTTTAGACTGATTTATCTCAGCAATGGATGAATGTATCAGGGTTCTCTCAACGGGGTTCGAAAGATCTTTGAAAATATAAAAAATCATTTGCTAGCAGCAGCAGTGTATAATGTACAACAAACATTCTATTTTAAAAATCAATATTTCCTATGCATTTTAGTTTTCTAGGTAAAGGTGTAAAACAATAAGATTGATGTAATTAAGTGCCAAATTAATTGCATAGGAAATATTGATTTTTAAAATAGAATGTTTGTTGTACATTATACACTGCTGCTGCCAGAAAATGATTTTTTATATTTTCAAAGATCTTTCGAACCCTGTTGAGAGAACCCTGATACATTCATCCATCATCATAGGTTTCTATTGATTTCTATCAAATTTCTCTATGTATTTTTAAAATACAGGTAAAGGTGTAAAACAATAAAACAGATATAAAATAAATACATAGAGAAAATTGATTTCTAACCTAGAAAGTTTTCTGTACGAAATACAGTATCGATGCAAGCAAATACTTTTTAGTATTTTGAAAGACAATTCGAGCAAAGTTGAGATCACCCCGATCCATCGAGCCATTGCTGAGATTAATGAATTTCAAATCATCACAATTTCACATAAAAAGATTTTTTATAGATCAATAAAGCAAAATTTCTCAAAATCCAGAAATTAGTTTTTTCATATTGATCCTGGGCACAATTTCCAAAAATCAAAACTTACCTACATCTTATAGTTTTTGAGTTATTGATGGACAGGCATATCTACCGTTCCCCTTATGTCTGGATAAAATTGGGCACACCGATAGATCGGTGCCAAAAAACAATAGTTGCAAAAATACTGTACTTTTTTTATAATTTTTAGTTTTTTAAGAAACATTTTATAGTTTATTAAAATATAAATTTATAATTATTTAAAGTAAAATACTGTCATTATTAATGAGTAAATATTTTATCATAAGCTTTACCGTTCCCCTTATGTCTGGATAAAATTGGGCACACCGATAGATCGGTGCCAAAAAACAATAGTTGCAAAAAATTTTATTTTGATCTAGCTCATATTTAACCTATATTAATTTTAATTTAACCAGTCTCAACTATTTTGGCGACGATTTTATGATCCTGACAATTTTGTTAAATGCACAAAATAGATGTTATATGAGAGCAATGTATTGTTTGAATAAAATAAAATATTTTTAATTATTATCAAATACAATTATTATTACTGTACTTTTTTTATAATTTTTAGTTTTTTAAGAAACATTTTATAGTTTATTAAAATATAAATTTATAATTATTTAAAGTAAAATACTGTCATTATTAATGAGTAAATATTTTATCATAAGCTTTTCCATATACGTTAGCATTATAGTTATACCTGAACACCTAGTTATTAAATTTAATGATGTTTGTTTCATATGAAAATATAAATATTTATCTTTATGTTTTTTTAAATAAACAATAAATGTTTTAAATATTTGATATATAATTTTATAGTGAATAAATAATTTCAGTATTTTATAATTTATTTATTCGTTATAATTTAAAACACAACTTAAATGTACATACTACATATTATTAATGTTTTATTTAAACACATTTAGCAAAATTAGCTGGATCATCCAAATACTTTCCATTACTGCATGTTATTGGATACAGATGAGCATTCATACCCGGGTAATAGGCATTGGGTTTCATTAACCACGCATTCCTGCAATCCTGGCAATCGATGTTTACCCTGATTTCATGTCCTTTATCGGGGAACAGTAAGGGGCTGAAAACAGACTCATCCAGATAGGTAAATACAGATTTCCGTAACACGGTTAGCTCAAGGTAAACTTGATTAATTGCCAATAAAGCGACTTCAGTGAATGACGTATCAGGGTTAAGGGCGTTATTAGTCAAATTGACATATAATACACCTTGCTGGTATGTGGCCCCGGTCATAAAACAATCTTCAATTCTTGATATATTATTCGACGATAAATCAATATGTTTAAGCGAGGGCAAATCAAAAAAGGCACGATCCCTGATTGTCTCTAATGAACCGGTATATCCATCTAAAGGTTTGAAATTGACCCTTTCCAATTTATGAAGCGACATAAATGCCTTATGGGGAACCTCCGTAATATTGGTCATGATCAATTCAATTTCGGTTATATTACTCAGCGTACGAATTGCTGAAAATATATTGTAATCACCTTGATCGGAGTTGTTATTAACAGGGCAAACACCTACTTCCAGTTTTTCAATACGATCAGCCGTACCCGAGAATGCCGCTTTATGTATATTGACTAAATTGGGCATGGCAAAAATGTCGACTGATTTAACTTGGACATCAGCAAACACATTTTCCGGAAGTTCAGTAATATATTTGTTATCAAATAAGCTGATGAAGTTTATTTTTTTATCGGTGCCGTCAAGTGCCTTGCTCACATTTTTGAAAATAGCTTTCAAGTCATAATGGGTCTCTTTATCGCCACACCAGATATGATCGTCTTTTAAGCACTTGCATGGTTTTAAGACATCAGGGTCAGCTGGACATTTTGCTGCCATTGAAATTGAAATAACATTGACCAGTAACAATGTAATTATCATGTTAGCCTCTATAATGAAAATATATAAACAGTTAAAAGCATCATCTATAATATAATATAATAAAATAGTGATAATATTGGTAATGTTTATTTAAATAAAATTGCATACCGATTATTCTTATTATTAAAACCGGTATATTTGTGAATATTTCAATTTTTTTAAATTCAATAATAAATTATTTTTAAACTACTAATACTAGCTTTTGGAGCTTTTATACTAAATAGCTATCAATACATCATATAGTTACCTTGAAAACAATAGATTATTTTGATATGTTTCCCAATTCATAGGTAATATTTTATCTAATTCATATTATAATTATCAAATAAGAGTGAAATTGTCAATTGTTTTTTCTCGGTAATTCCTATTAAATTACTAAGATAATAAAATTTATAAGTATGTTCCTAAAATTCCGGGGCATGGGCATAAAACGGGCACGGACACCACACGGGCACGGGCACTTTAAGATCCTCATAATATATTATATAACGAGTTTACTTCTAATCCTGTTTTGTGCCTAGTATATTTAATCAACAACCATTTTGCTGCCATTGCAATTGAAATAATATTGACCAAATATATAAGGGTATTGTAATTATCAGGTTAAGCCAATTAATCAATAAAATATACAGTTTAAATCATTATTTATAATGTAATAAACTAATGACAATTTTTAATGTTATTAAAATAAAATTTCATTCAAATTAATCTAATTATAAATATGGATATTAAAAATATTGCCAATTGTTTAATTTATTATATTAGTAATTGATAAATAATTTTTAAAATGCTAATTATTAGCTCTGTAACTTTTTAACTAAATCAATGCTACTTGATGTTTCTTTGAAAACAATAGATTATTTTAACAAGCCATGCAATATTTAACATGTCACCAATGTACTGTACTTTTAATCTTCTTTCGTGCCTAATGTTTTTCATCATAAAAATATATTGCAATATTACTTGCCATATTAAAACATCTTTAATCTTGTTGTATTTCTAATGTTCCCCCTGACCAGGCTCAATTTTTACTATTTGTATTCACGGATNTTTTTACTATTTGTATTCACGGATCATGAAAATAGTTGGTAGTGAGAACACTGTGACTATTATAACATTAGTCAGTATTACTGTGACCAACCGTCCAGGTTTGACCTGGACTGTCCAGGAATTAAGGTATCTGTCCAGTGTCCAGGACAAGGTCTCGCCTGGACAATGTAATGTCCAGGAGTTATACAAAAAGAAATGTTATCATACAGATTTACATATTTTAGAGGAATTTAATAGATTAATGATATTGGATCCGGAAAAAAGTTTCCGCAATGCCTTTGCTTTAGTAAAAATAATCCAAAACTCAATAATTATTGGCCTGGGAGGCCCGGTATGTCTAAATATCAAACTTTTAACAATTTATAGTACCAACAAGAATAGGAATTTTAAAAAGTTATGATATGGAAAATGAAGATAATTTAATTCTCTATCAAGATAAAATATAAAAATATTTTATTCAATCAATCAGAGCACAGGGAGGAAAGGTAGGTATTTTATTGTGTTTATACTAGAATTTATTATGTAGATCCAATTAATGCACGAATAGAGCTCAAAAAATGAAAAAGGTTGACATTTTAAATTTTTCAAATATCCATTAAAATAACTGTCCTAGAGCAGGTCAAAGTTTGCATTTTTACATTGAATATTGCTATTGAAAACATAAACAACAAAATAGTAATACAAAAACCCTTTTCAATGTAAAAATGCAAACTTTGACCTGCTCTAGGACAGTTATTTTAATGGATATTTGAAAAATTTAAAATGTCAACCTTGTTCATTTTTTGAGCTCTAATAGTTAAATTATGTGTTTTATAGTCAAATAGTTAAAATCTATATACTTAAGCATTAATATAATTTTATTTAAATTTTTAAAGTTAATTTTAGACAGAAATAAAATGTTATATGTCAAATATGGCTTTAAAATATGTGTCCAGGATTGTCCAGGAATTTTATTAAATTTTTACATGAAAATCCAGGAATTTTAAATTTTGAGTTGGTCACACTAATTTTAGACAGAAATAAAATGTTATATGTCAAATATGGCTTTAAAATATGTGTCCAGGATTGTCCAGGAATTTTATTAAATTTTTACATGAAAATCCAGGAATTTTAAATTTTGAGTTGGTCACACTAGTCAGTATTGAGATTAATGTGAAAATGTTATAAGTTTTGCCATTCATAATGTAAAGTTGCTCTAGTAGCCTTTAGCATTGTATTGCCCATTGGAGGTGCTCTCAAGGAGAAAACCATAGTTGCAAAAATATTTGTTTTGACCTAGCTAAATTAAGTCGTATTTTTTGTTAAACGAGTTAACAGTATTTTGGCGACGCTTTTATATTACTAAATAAGTAGTGTATCATCGAGAAAGTATTAGTTATATTGAGAAATAAATTTTATTTTGATTAAATTTTTAAATGTTTTACATATTTTATAAATCAAATAACTTTTCTTTAATTTTTTATACCGCTACATATTTATTCAATGTTTGTCATGTACCCTGATACACTATTCTGGGTACAATACTGCCCCAAAAAGGCAACGGCAACATCGACATGATTGTCATTGATCATTTGATTACAAATGTTGTTAAACACATGGATCTTGCTGAATGCATAAGTATTCTGTGAATATAATTTATACATAATTAATTAACTACCTCAAATTTAAAATAACTATAATAAAATATACCTTGTTCATATTGAAGCACTTATCGTGGAAGGTGTCGACAAACTTCTTATAACAAGTCATGTCTTCGGATAACTCGAGTTTGCTATTCAACAGAGCATTGGTGTCCAAACGGGTCATGTGGTGCACGCTATCCACAAATGCCCGCAAATGTTTGTCAACGTATTGGCGACCCTTCAGTAATCGAGATAATTCATCCACATATCTAACCCAAAAAAATTTAATATTTTAACCAGTAAAATTATTTTAAAATTATAGTTACATTTGCTTCTCATAGATATCATTAGTGGACTGAATGTTCTTTTCGGCTAATTTAATGGGAATGTCCCGGAAGTTCACAAACTCGGCATTTGCGGGCACAGCCACACTATTGGCACCGGTAGGTGGCACCTTTTTAGCACCTGTATTACATGATAATAAAATAATTTATTATAGTCTTTAATTTAAAATTTAAAATTATTCCTTATATTAAATTATATTATTTACCCAAAAAGTCGGAAATATGTTGCTGGGCGATTTTCAAATCACCATAATGTTGCGCGTTTTGAGAGTGTGTCGCATTATCCATGGTGAAATTATTGTGCTCGACAATATAATTGTACTGTTTATCAAGGATCTCCACTTGCGGGTCATTGTGCTCGCTGTCAAACAGCCAGTTCACGCCAAACCAACCGCCTTAACATTTCAAAATTAAAATTTCGAAAATTAAATAAAATATTTTTAATATTTATTAAATTATTACCTAGATAAGTCTTTCTATAAGTGTCATGGGTGCACATCCAGCTCAATTCATTGTACCTTGATGAGGTAATTGCGTACACATTAATATCGGTGGGCAAGTGTTTCTCAAACATGGATCCTAAATTTTAACAATTATTTAATCTAGCTCATTGAATAATTTAACTTGATTAATTAGCATACCTGAATCGCAGGCTTCCAAATAGAAAACGAGCTTGGCAAACTTTTGCTCCTGGTTCATTTTCTTAAGCCTATTGTTCAGGTCATCAGCGTATAGGTAGCCCTTCGGGAACAATACGGATCCTAAATAAATAAATAAATTTAGTTTATATTTAATATAATATTAAACTACTAGTAAACCTACCCTGGGATCCATGATCCATAAAATAGACAAATATATTATCTTTGGGTCCACTCTTGACAACACGTTTGCCCTTTGCTTCCAGCGCTGCTTCTCCGCTAATAACGTCTAAGAAATTCTATAAATAGAAAATTAACAAGATCAATTAATACATAAAATATAAAATAAACTGTGTAAATAATATTCATTACCTGCGGGATGACATCAGCCCCGACGTAATCCTTGGGCACACCCTTGTAGACGTCGGTACCGTTCAGTTCATTTACAACCACACCGGGTGTGGGATTTGACTTGGAATTAGCCAGGTCATCGTAGTGCATGACTATGATGTTTTTATCCGGGATACCTTGCTTTTTCACAGTTTGGTAGGCGTGGTACACGTTGGACTAGTAATATTAAAAATTATTTACATTAATGTTTATTTATTTATAAATGTTACATGTTATATAATTTATTTTTATATAGCACGATAATAAATAATTATAATTACCGAGATAGCGTAATTGCCCCAGCCAATACCACCCGAGCACAATACCACCCAGGTCTGACCCTCAGGTGCTTGGCCATTGGGCATGGCACTAACAACCAGCACCACTAATGAAAAAATTAGCACCAACTTCATTATAAATTATTATTATTACAAACTTAAGTCTACAAAATATTATAGACTACTAAAAGTCTCTTACAGTTTGCAAACTGTATTTATAGACACCAGTACTCCATAGCATACCTGTGCTTTCGATGCACTACCAGTGGGGGTCTCATTGTGCGAGTGAGTGGTCTGATAATAAATTTACGTAATATTGTTATGATTATGAGCATCATATGATCATTTAGGTACAATGATCATTGCTTAGTATTTATGTAATTGAGCTAGCATGTGTTAAATTGTCTCAACATACCCTAACAAAAAGTTTTAATATATTGTTATCATGTCAAATTCTAGAAATAAATAAGCTACCTCAAATGTTGTCAGTACTAATATTAATTGATACGTGCACTATTTGCACTTGAACATGTTTATTTGTGTTTATAGTTTATTTATTTTAAATGACAATAATGATTTTTAATGTATAATACTAGCACAAAATAATACCAACTCCTATATTGACTAAGATTATTTTTCAAAAACAAATAATTCTTGGAATAATGTTATCTCAATTAAGATATGTGTCAAACGCGCTAATTTTAGATAATAATTTCAATGTCATCCACTTGAATTAAATATTAGTAGATTATCAGAGTATAAAATTTATACAAAAAGTTATGATATTGTTTTTTAAAATGCAATTTATTAGCTGTATTTATAAATATTATTATTTGAAAGTTGGCGGACTTAATTTATACAATAAAAAGTTATGCTCTTATATGAATTCAGAAGTGACATTGATCATAATAAATATAATTTTATAATGTATAGTACGAGTGTATTCTAAAGGTTAAAAATAAAATAAATTTTTAGAAATACAATAATACAAAATACTTTACATCTATAGTCAGAAAGTACATTTATAAAATCAACTAGTTGACAACTCATATAAATTGTTTATTAAGTGTATTCTAAAGGTTAAAAATAAAATAAATTTTTAGAAATACAATAATACAAAATACTTTACATCTATAGTCAGAAAGTACATTTATAAAATCAACTAGTTGACAACTCATATAAATTGTTTATTGTATTTTTATAAGTAAAATAAAAGTTGATTAATCAGATATTTGAAATTGCATTTATTTTTTATTATATTAATATATTAATAAAAGTAATTAAACAATTAATTAATTTAATTATAATTACCATATTTTGTGCATGAGTTGTTTATTTTGTATTTTGTTTAATATTTCATAAAAAATTTGTTAGCAGTTAATTAATTTTGTTAATTAAAATATCCAATTTTATAAATTACTATTGATTAATAAAGTACAATTTTGTATATGGCTTATGTATTAATCAATATTTTTGTTATTTTTATTACTATATGTAAGTATTAATTAAAAAGATTATTTTTAATTTACATTTTACCAATTAAAACCTGATATAAATTAATTACGTTTATTTTAGTTACTTGTCATGGTGATGAATTTAATGATACACAACTAGATATTATATATGAGCGTAATGAATTGATTGGCACAGGACAAACTGTACCTGATAACATGGATGATATCAAGGACTATTGTAAAAATACAGCAAAATTTACAAACTCAAAGGCTTCATTGTATGATTTTTAAAATAAACTAGATAGTTTTAAATTACAAATTATATTTCACAATTATATTATAGTAATAAATTCAATAATATTATAAATTTAAGGTTCAAGGATGTGTCAAACGGCATGAAATATTTAACCAAGCTTAAAAATGAAGTAAAAGACATTGTATTTGGTTACACCAGACCAGATTATGTGCCTGGCTACTTCCAGAGTTTTTGTAAACTAAACCACACAGATAAAGTAGCCAAGGGTATAAATGCTAAAATAGATGAAGCTAAAAAGATCAAAGAAAATGCCATCGGGGTCATTATGGAAATAATTGCTCAAGGATCAAAAAGCAAATTGCCTAATGTGTTATGGTAAATTAACTATATTTTAGCTCTATTATACTGTAATACAATTTTAAGTAAATTTATATTAAAATGTACTATACAGTCCTATATAAACAGAGGTGAAAGGTAACTTTTGTATTCAGTAGATAACATATTTTTTTATATTACAGTGTAATTAAAACGTGGGCTGAGAAATCTATAAGTATACATGATGAAAAATGTGGTGTTAAAAAGTTCGTAAAAACCTTGCTAGATGATTACATTTCATTGTTCACCAAGGCTGAAAAAGCCGAGAAAGTAAAAGCTGATTCCGGGTGTAATTTGGACCTAGGACAAAAGTACACAGGAAAACGATATAAATTATTAATGTTTGCGATTGTAAAAGTGTTTGAAAAAATGTTAAATTAACAAATGTAAATACTATAAATCAGTTAATTTAGCAATTACAATTTAAACTCAACTCCAATTTATACAATATTTTTTATAAATAATTTTTACAGCGTGTTTATCCTATTATGAAATTAGTGAAAAAAATGATACAATACAATGAACCTGTAAAATTAAATATTTTATATAAATCCCTTTTATTTTTCATAATGTCAATGCCTTTTAAATTCATGACAATCAAAAATGCGATAACCTATTAACTAAAAATATAATTACAGTTGTCAGTTTTTTGGGACCCATTTCCATATCAGTGTCATTTATGTGGGTGAGAGAGGGGGGACACCAAGTGATTCTAGTATACGCTTAATTACCAATACGGAAAAGCGTATTAATATATTTTTCACTTGAACCTTTTCAATTAAATTGTATCATTCGCGATTTCTAAGAAAGTCTAATTTATTTGTGTAATAGAAATATCTTGAATAGAATTTATTACTAAACTTGAAAACATTATTTTGTTGTTGCTTATTAATTTACTAATCAAATAAGTATGATTTATTTTTCATACATATAGTATTAATAGTACACTATATGCCACTTAAGTTAAACTTAATAAATTTTTATCTATATTAAAATCAAGCTCAGATAATATATACAAATGTATTTTCAAACCGTGTGTTTTGTTCAGATCCTATTCATATACATTTAAAAATAATTTTTAAATAAATCCTCTAATGTTAAAGGATATACAGTATAATTATATTATTAATTTATAATCTCGATGAGTACTGACTGTATTAAAAATAAGTTTACATTGAACAAATTGAAAGTGCACTCCGAACATAATACATTCGCTTACATAGGTATATAAAAATAACAAAATCTATTTAGTAAAATTAAATAGACAGTATTTTCAATTTATATACGATAATTACTTTTTTATTGATCGTGTTTTCGAAAAGTGACTAGTTTATTTTTATATATTAATACAAACCCTTAAAAATATAGTTTATATGAAACTTGAGTCCCTTTAGGACATTTAATATTATATGTGAAATACATTTTGAAAATACTTGTTATCATTTAAGTCATTAAATTCTGCAGCAATTTGTACTTTTAATAAATAACAATAATTCTTATCATTGTGTTATATATTATAAAATATTTTAAAAGTTAGACATATTATATTAAATAAACCTTAATTCATATATAAAATGTTTGAATACCTACTGATTTCGTACGGAATTCACGCAAAACATACTTATATTAAACACATATTTACCGCAATATTCTTTGCATTATTTGCTATAAACACATTGTATATATGTAAATATGAAGTCTCAAGTATTTCAATTAATAATAAAAACTATCTACAACATTGGTTATTGTATATTAATAAATTACTTATTATATTGGATCAATGTTTAACAATAATGTCCTACCTATATGTTAAATGCAAATCAAATTTACTGCGAGAAGTCAACAATGAATTGTGTGAATATTATCAAACAAATACTATTAAGTACCGCGATTATAACTCAATAATAATAAGTATTATTATATATTTATCAAGGTATCTATCAATAGCGATAATTTATATAATTTATTACGATGATATAATACACAATTTACAAAGTGCTTCACCATATACGTCTACTTATTTTATCGAGCTTAATTTTTATGTGATAAGCTTGTATTATATTTATATAAATGGCTGGTATATTGCATTATTTAACACATACTACTCGTTGTACACCAAACACCTGCATATTCTGGGCGTACAGGCATTGAAAATGAAAACCATTGTTGGGCCCATACCTAATGAATATCTATTTCAAATAAGACTATTTATGAAACAATTTACGCGGAATGAATTTAACTTGTTAATTAAAAATTTAAAATATATTGTTTGCATTCACATTTTTATCATATTTATAATTGATTTATTGGTTATGTTCATTACCTGTATTAGAAGTAATTATCTAATGGCAATTTTGTGGGTTATGAATGATGTTATGTTAATAATTTTTATAATTTTTGTAGCAATTAAAATACATTATAAAACTAAATCTGAAACAAAAATTCTAACTATAATTACTCAATGGGAGAATACTATCATAAATAACATTGAAAATGAAATTAATGTTTAATTATACAATATTATATTATTCAATGTAACAATATTATTTTTAGTTAGTATATAACACACTGTGTAACAATAATTCAAAAATAACTAATACATTTATAAATTATTATGTTAAATAGTTATGTGTACGTTATTGTAGTGAACCAACATATGCTTACATAATATAAGTATGCTCGCATAATATAGATTATATTATTAAATATTTTAAATGTACCACATAAAACTAATGTTCTATATTAACAAATAAAAATTATTATTATTGCCAATTAAAAAATAAATAATATTTCAAAAGGTAGATAAAATATAATTTAATATATTTAACTTGGATAAATACAATAATTTTCTATGCTCATCTCAATTTTAAACTAATCATTTTAATTATAAATATTCACATTTTATTAAATACTTAACAATTGACAAAATTATTATTCCCATAGAGGGTGCTGTTGTCTCTGCAAAAAATACCGCTCACTTGGGACGCGAACTCCGGTCTCTTGAGCCACGCGTTCGGACACTCATCGCAGTCCACGTGAGCTATGATTTCATTCCCGGGATT